GGCTTCTAGTCTTAGAGATTCCTTCAACGGAAAGACTCTGAAGAATATGAGGCTAATAGAGGAAGTCATTTCTAAACCTCTACTTGTTCCCCCTGAAAGCATCAGAATCTCAAGAATTTCTGTGAATAACTACCCTTTGTTTACCAAGGGAGATAACATGTCTAGCATTGCTATCTATGTCAGGATGATGGAAGCAGAAGGATATGATATGTCCAGTTTCAACTATTCTGATTTACCTCCTGCTCAAAGGTATGCTGAATCTTCTAGAGGTAAAAGGAAGAAGAGTTCAGAAGCTTCTGAACTTGGAAAGAAGAAGAAGAAAAAGTCCGGTTTTCTGAAAGATGTCATTCTGGGAGCTGAAAATTATGTAACATCTAGTAAGTCTGATACTTTTATACATGTTTCATTGTTTTCTTCTAATACTGTTAATGTATGTTCATCCACAACCTCCACTGCAGAAATTAATCCTCTTCCACCATCAACCAGAACTACAATTATTTCTGACTCTGTTAACACTTCTATCTTTTTTCCATATATTCCCTTTACACCATCATCTTTTACAATTCATGTATATCAACAAACAATCACCACTCCTTCATCTAATGAGTTTAACTCTTTTTTTATTCCACCATCCACCATCACCACTTCTATTTATGTTCCTAATACAAATATCCCACCTGTTTCTAATACCATTTCAACTGAAATTCTGGTAACTACAAATGTGTTTGTTCCACCATCAACAACAATCATTTCTAAATCCACCATCACCATACAAGATTTTGCTCCAAATCCTATTCCATCTCTCACTACCATCATTCCATCAGAACCAATCCACACTTCTACATCTCTATTAACCTCATCTCAATCACTTCTACAAACTTCTCACTTTTCAACTTTTGATACCAATCTTCATTTTTCCTTATTTAATAAATAAACCACTCTCCATGACTCACCCATCATCCATCCTGATTCAACTTCTCCCTCTAATCACGAAATGTCTGAAAGGACAATTTCTGATAACCATGGAGCTATTGAAATTTCCACAACTTAACTTTTCACTTGTTCTGAAATTTTCAATATGATTGAACATCCGTTATCACAAGATCCTCCTAAACCTGTAACTTTTAAACCCATCTGTAATATGATAGGAGAACTGACTTGTTTTTGTGTTTTATCGTAAATGTTGGGGATAGCAAGAGTATCCACCGACTTTTCTTTTATCCAATAAGGAAAGTATGAAAAGAACAGGAAATACCTTTTAAGATTTTGAGTTCGGGGGGTAAGTTATGAAAAGGGAAGGTGTTAACACCCTTTTCATCTGTAGTTATCTACGGACTCTTAATCGCTAGATCACTTTGAAAATTGCTTTGTGTGTGTGATTTGAAAATATTTTTGAAAATCCAAAGTACGACTAACTTTGTAATGGTTCTTGTATCAGTCCTCAAGAACACGTACAAAGTGTTTGAAAATATTTGTTTTGAAAAGGTGATGTGTAAAATGTTTCTTTTTTAGCAAAGAGTTGTGAGCAAGCGATTAAAAATCTTACCCACTCAAGGTCATTCTTATTCTTTTCATTCTCCTTTAGAGATTATGATATCCCTACCATTAGTTAGTAGGTATCCCTATCTATTGGATGTGAAGGGACGAGCGAAGGGTCGTCGAATGATCATAGAAAGCAACATATAGAGATACTTTAGCAATTGTATCAGAGGGACTATATCATATTTTGTAGGCAACATTGAAGGGTCATCGAGGGACTATGATCTTTATTCGAGGGTCTTTTGCTAAAGCATCCCTATTTTTGAGGGACATGACCATTGTTTTTTGAAGGCAACAAAGGAGGTTACCTTAGAGGTGTATGTGTGCAAAGTGAGTTCAGTTCAGTTATGTTATCTTAGAATTGTTTAAGGTTATCTATCATTTAATTTTATCTTGCCATACAAGTCTATTACTACAAAATTATATATATATATATATATATATATATATATATATATATATATATATATATATATATATATATATATATATATATATATATATATATATATATATATATATATATATATATATATATATATATATATATATATATATATATATATATATATATATATATATATATATACAAGACATAAAGAATAAGTGTGAAAAAGTAAAGTCATACGCTATTACAGGGCCTTGGGGGAAGTTACATGATAAAGAAATTGTGCAGGAATTTAAATTAGGTTATTATAAAATTTGTACATCCTATACAATTTGTCTAATAAAATAAATAGAAAAATAAAATAAAATATTAGTAAATTACTTTTAAAATTCTTAACATCTAAAAGATTAGAAATTAATTTTTGTGCATTTTTTGGTTTGATTTGCATAATAAAATAAAAAACTAATGTCTAATTTTAATTACAAATTAATTAATTTGATGACAAAAAAAACTAATTCTAAATTAATTAAAAGAACTAAAAAAAGACTAAACCTATTTTTTTGATTTTTTATAAGTTTTCTGATTTTTATTTGATTTTAGTTTAAGAAAAGAATTAATTAAAATGAAAATTAATTAAAATAAAAAAAAGGATTGAAAAAGATGAAAATATAAATGCAGGGGATGTGAATCGGTTCATCAATGGCCAACCATAATTTGGATGTTATAAACTCCATGTAATGGTCGCGACCTGTTTCAAACATCATCATAACAATGCATATAATAGAAGTTTAAGATTTTGGAAAAATTACCCAACTGATATTCTTGAGAGAGCACATTTTGGGATGTCTCGAGCTTGTTGAAATACTAGAAATGACTCCTGGGATATTCAGGAGTGTAATGGAATGCTTGGAATTGTTTGGGAGAGGCTGCAAATAGGGTTTCACGCTTGCCCTAGTTCTTGAAAAAAAATTGTGATTCTTGGAGCTTGCTCTTGAGGTAGAAATTTATGGTCTTGTTCACTGATGTTATGTGTATTTATAGATGAAGAAAATAGATCAAGTCAAAAGAGGAAAAGACCAAGTATTCAATTTCTTGTCAAAACACAAAAAAAAAAAAATTATTTTCAAACATTCCATTTTGAGAAGATTATGTCCCAATCTTGCCTCCCACGGTTTTGGCAAGTTGGATATGTGTTCTTGGGTCTCAAATTTGATCAAAAACCAAGCCCATGTGCCTTGGTCCATTATTTTACTATTTTATTTAATTTATTTTGTATTTAATTGAATAAAAACAAAACAAAATAAAATGAAAATATTATATAAGGCACGAGTGTACTTATGGGTCTTTTATCATGTCATGAACATGTTTGAACTTGAAAAATTAAGTCCATTAGCCCACAATTTGAAAATTGGTCAATGTAAGTTTCATGCATTTCTCAAAAATTGCTTAACTTGCACCAAACATAACTTCCTCAATTTTTATCATATGAAGGTGGTCTTAGACTTTTTCAAAAGCTCAAGATGTCCCCTACAATTGAGAAAAATATGATGAGGCATGTGAGAGTTATGCTTGATCAAAGTTTAGTTGACTTCTCCTTAAGAAAATCCAAATTTGGTAACTTTTGACTTTTGATGAATTGAGAGTTTTCTGGATGAATCATGATCAACCCTTGATCAAATGATGAATGTGACCTCAAAATCTTGATTTTGACCAAAAATCTTGAAGTATGACTGTATGTTGACCACAATTGACTTTTTGTCCAACACAGTTGATTTTCAACCATTTGAGCAACTGATTGAGCAAACTTGTGGTGCAAGGCTTGAAACTTGTTATGAGGATACCTTGAGGCATATGAAGAACCATGAAACTCACTTGAGGCATTAGAGGCTCAATTTTCTTTGAGAAACACAAAACCATAGTGTTGCACCCCAAAATTTTCCCTCCTAATTTTACTTTTATCTAGCTTAGGTTTTGCATTCATCTGCATATATTCCATTAGGTCATGAACATATCATGTATTTTCATTCAATAAAACACCTTGGTTCAAAAGGTCAGCAATCACACAAGCTAGGATTTCTTTTGGTGTGAGGTGTACATATCCAATAAGCATTTATTCTTCTGGTTCTTCTTGAAGCATCGGTTAGAGAATTAGGGTTTAATCCCCTAGTGCTTAAACTTAGCATTATTTGAACTAAAGATTTTGAAAATTAGGGTTTGGAATTCATGGATATCCTGAGCATACCTCAAGTTTACCTTCATCTAAAGGGTTTCGTTACTACATTTCAAGTCTTATCCTAACCTTCAAGGAATTCTAAGGGCGTTTCCTTTGTGATCTTTGGTCATCAAGAGTTGTGAAATCCTGGGAATTGGTACAAAATGGGAAGCAAGAAATTATTTGTGATCGAGGCATGGTCATGATTTTGTTTGCTTGTGGCTTGTCATGCAAGATGCTTTCGAGGCTTGAAGATAAAGGCATTTTGAAATTTAAAGTGCAAACTATAGATCGAGAAATTGGCTTGTGATTTTTTTTTGAGCCAAAATGATTTGTGTTGCTTGATTTGGATATGTCTGTTGAGAAATTAAGTGGGCTTCAAGACTAATCGAATGTTATTAACCAGTCATTAAATTGTCAAAAAAGTCAATTCAAGAAGATTGGAAAGCAAATACGTGTGGATTGTTTGGTGTTGAAGATGCAAGTTGCAAAATTCAACATACATCATTATCACTTGTTGCTCACAATACAAGTTTACTTGGAATTAAGATTGAGTTGGAAGATTGATTTGGATGCATTGATTGGTTAGTATTCATACAAGATTGCATAATGTGCTTGAGTGGATTAAACTTTGCTTGCAGAATGGAAAGTTTGTGCATGAAATTTTATTAAGAGGAAAGTCGAGGCTTATGTCATTACGTTCATTCAAGTATCATTCAAACATCATTCAAAATCAATCCAAATACACTCCAAACCTTCATTACAAAACCATTCATATATTCAACATCATTTGGTTCCATTACATTTCCATTACAACTTTATCATTACATAAAAAATTACATAAACCTATGCTAAAATATCCTAATCTCCAAGCTTTATTAATCTTCCTCCAAACATAATCCAAAATCCAAATTGTTTGTTCCAAATCATAACCAAGACCTGTCTGCAAACAACCTGCATCAAAGCACCCGCATCGTGTCTACAACAGTTCGACCTGCTAGTGAAAAACATACAAATCAGTTCAGCCTACAAAAACCTATCATCAGATCAATTCATAACATGAAAATACAATCCAAAATACAACCATGCCAAACATTGCCAGTGTTGTTCATTAACCTGCATAATCCAGTCTAGGAGAAGCTCACATTAATCGCACATTTGTACCAAGCCAATCATCATCCAACCTACGACATCCATCAGAACCTGCATATAGAAGTAGAAGGAATAAGTTGTTACAGGTTCATAAAGGTATGATTATCTCAAAGTTTAATAGGAAATAAGCAAAAAGTCAGCAGAAAATTAAATCAAATATAATAATAAATCCATCCCAACACAAATAAGAAATAGGCCTCTGTATTGAAACCACAAAGCTGTAATAACAGCAGTCCTGCACTCATTTTAAAAATCAGAAGAAAGAAACCGTGGAACAAAAATATCAGAAAGAAAGAAAACCAGTCCCTGCTACAAAAAATCCAGCTCAGCAGTTTACCCAAAGCTTCTCAAGCAAGTTTCACAAACTCAATCCTCACCATCTATTCTTCTAACTAACTACTGAAATCAAGGGCTCATATTCATTAAATCCTAACTAACTTTTCTACTAATAACAAACTATAAGAATAGATTTACCTTCATTGATCTTCATTCTTCAAAAATTCTAGAAGAGAATCACAAGAAAATTCAAAAAAAGTATCTCTGCATTCTTCACACCTCCATCGTCTTCTTCATCTGATATCAGTGCAATCCCTCTGAATCCTCACTATAACTTCATCATCATCTTTGATTCTCCAAACTGCTTTTGTAACAACACTTCATCATCTTCACACCAGAGCAACGTCAACCAGCCTATTCATCATCTTCATCATCGGCAACAAAACTACATTGATGTAATCATCGTCACGTTTCAATCATAGACACCGTAACCGAAACACAAGAGAATTACAACGCGAAAAAGAAGAGAATACAGAATCGAGGATGACAATTTACGTATACCTGAACCGTTAATTGTTAGTTTTCTCTTCGATTTCATCAATCTTGAAGAATCGTTGGAGTTCTCTGGTAGGTAAGTCTTTAACTGCTTATCATTTCCGCATCACTGTGTATGTAAACTTGTGGCATATAGCTTTGTTGTTGTTCACTTCTATTTCTAATTTCGCCAAAATCACGATCGGGCCTTGAGAAGCCACGATGTTGAAATCGGAGATGAAACCGAATCTGAAGACGGACAGAAGCAGTCAAAGCGTGAAATCGCGAGCGAATGGAAAGGAAGTAGTGATGTGTTAAATCATGATTGATGGAGGAAATTAGAAGCTGAGAGCTGAAGCAAATCAGACGGAGTTGCTGCGAACAAAGCCACGCCATTACGATAAAAGATGAGAACAAAATATTAGGACGGAATCGTTGAGGCAATGAGAGAGTTGAGATGGTGCTTCGTCGGAGACAAAGCTGATAGAATCACTGAAACGATGAAAGGCTGAGCGGAGAAAGATGAAATGAATCAGACTGAGACGGAGGTTCCAGCGAGACCGTGGTGGCTAAATAAGAGAGTGGAGCGCCATTGTTCCTTGAAAAGAAGGGATTTTAGATGTTGTTGTCTTTGTTAGTAAAGAAGAAGAAGAATATAGGAAGATTATTGTTGTTTTGTTTGACCGATGGAAGCAAAGAAAGCAGTAGGAAGGATGATGAGAGTAACAGAGGAAATGACGATGGAATGTGTGTGCAACAACTTTCCTTCTAGGGTTTTTTTTTGCTCTTCAAATTTCTTTTTGGGCCTCCTCTTCAACACCAATAGGCCCAACCGCCCCATCCCTTGCCACTAAGCCCATTCGTTTTTCATATTACACCCCTGGTTTTGTTTATTTTTAGTTGAAATACAAACAAAATTCATTTGGGCCTTCAACTAAACAAGCACCTGAGCCCATTTCGAAAACTACCACATGCACCCCCTATTTGCTATTTTAATTGAGTATATGTAATTTTGTTTTTTTTAATGATTTTCTTAATTCTTTAGGTTTAGATTTTAATCTCAATTATAATAACATAGTTTTTTCTAACTAAATTGTTTTATTAACTTTCTTAGTTTTAAAAGTTAGTTTAGAAACGTTATGAATAATCAATTTTGTTAGTTAACATTTTACTCTTTTTTTTAATATTGTTTAGTTGATTTCTTCTAATTATTTTAGTTTCTACATGATAAAAAATTACAAAATCAATAAAAATTTGTTAGATTTTTTTAGGAATTAAATCATGGTGATCTGATTAATCGAGACTTGTGATCCACCTTTGCTTGTTGAGATCTGAGTCTTATGCAGGTTTATTATGTGGTATGCGGATATGCTTGAGGTTCTGATTGTGACTTATTTTCACATCGAAGATGCTTCGATGCTTATTTCGAGTATATGATTTCTGACTCTTCTCTATTACTTGGTGAAGCTTACTCGAAGTTTTATGGGTTTCTCTGCTTTTCTACTGTGCTACGAAGTCTTGTTCGTTTGGTATCATTCTGATTCTAATTTATCATTCCGTATTTTACTGCTTTTATTTAGATGTCATGAGAAGTAGGAATTTTACTCTTTCTAGATATCATGAGAAGTAGGAAATAAAGAGCGTATGCTCAAAGTATCTGTTTAAAGTCTTGTAGCAGGCACCACTTTCTGTATGGTATTTGTGTTTGTTTAAAATCCTATCTTTGAAGTATGTATTCCGCACGTGTGTTTACATTTGTGCCCACATTATATTACAGATGATAAGTCCTCAAAAGGAGGAGAGCATGGAGGGTCCGTAATCAACCCTTGTACATTCTAGTCCGTGTCATCCTTAGCTCGTGTTGTACGTCAATGCTTCGAAGTCGTGCATATCTTGTTATCGAGTCTTCGAGTGGAAAAGGAATTTGTAATCAATCCCCCACATTTTGTCTTGAGCTCACGTTGGTCGACATCGATGCCCCGTGTTTTTTCTTCTATCCCCTCACTGCTTGTTTTCCTCAATTGATATGACCCCTTGTCTAAAGCACCCCTACAAATTTTATATCTACCTTGATCTTCTATATCATGGTTAGGAATTTGACTTGAGTTAGCATGTGTTGCTCATGACATATTGTGTGTGCTCTCTTGAGCTTATTGGCTTGCTTGTTTGATTTCATCTTTATGTGCATGTTTTGATATCATATACCCTCGGCATGTTCCCTTAGGAGCTCTTGATTCATCTATAGATGATGATTCGAGATAGACATAATTTTAGGTGATAGACCCTTGCTATGCTCCTTTAGAACTTCTTGATTCATCTATAAATGATGAGTTGAGATAGACATTAAGATTTTTATCTAAGCATGTCAACATAGGGTAGAGATTTCCCTTTAAAACTCAACTTTAGGATCAATCATCATATGATAACATTAGGGGTAGATTTAGGTTAGTCTCCCTTATAAGTTTTTCTTTTCTTTTGCATCCTTGCATTAAAACAAAAACTTCTTTTTCTGGCAAACTTCAAAACACTTAAAAATTACTGATGAGAATCATACATTTGTTGAGCATGGGAGATGATAAGCGGGTTTCTTCTCGATCTTATTGCTTTTTCCATTCTAAGCCTTGGTTTGGTTCAAGTCTCAAAAGACTCATTTCATGAATAAGTGGAGAAGTGGCCAATATCTCTCTCTTGAGATCAACTATCTATTATCCACAACAAAAACACCAACCAACGCAAACTCTTTTTGCCTTCGGGTTTTTCTTTCAAACCTTTTTCAAAAGACCATGTTAATTCACTTATGTGCTGACGCGTAAGTCTCCAAAGGTCGAGTTGCGGCAGATGGAGAAATTAATACTATTTATTAAAAAATACAAAATAAATAGAAACTTTTGAAGTCGAACTACGGCTGCTCTGATTCCTTAAAAGGGATGCGTAGGCATTGGGGTAGGTCCCGAACGAGCACAACTTTATTTTCCCTACATTACTTTCTCTTTTCTTTTGTATGCATTCCCTCTTTGCATTTTTCTTTTAGCTCTTAAGCTTAGATTTGAACACACCCTTTGATTATAACAACAAGAGTGGATACCATAGAGTACTACAGGCGTGTGGGGTGCTAATACCTTCCCCTCGCATAACAGACTCCCTTACATGTATCTCTTGACCGTTCCACCTTGATTTCACCCTTCTCATGTTTACTCGATGTTTACCTTTCCCTTCATGTGGGATAAAAAACGTTCTATGGCGACTTCATTGATTTCATTATTAGTTGATTGTTCAGCCGATTGCTTCACCTAGTTGTAGGTCATTTGCTTATGATAGGTGCTTGTATGCTCAAACCCTTGAGTATTCTTGAGCAATTGAGAACCCTAGGAGCATGAGGAGGTGTCTTGAATCAATTGTCTTAAAAAATGGGAGAACAAATTTTAGGGTACAACAACTTCCCCTATTATATCTTCTTAAACCTGAGGAGTTAGATTGACATGTACGCCATTCGTGATCTGAAGGTGGAAAAGGATTAAACACTTAAGTGCCTAGAAATTTGCACTCACATGTGCACAAAGTGATATTGTTGGTTGATTATACTACTTGAATTGGCTTAAAGATACCATTCGGAGAGGCAATAGAGTGTCGTCGGAGATGGGCTTACAGATGCCATCCAAAGTAACTATTGATTGAAGTATCAAAATGAGTCTACGTCTAATTGTATTTGAAGGATTCTTTTCAGAAGGAAAATGCTCGCCATAATTCAGCCTCTGGGGGGGAATGCTTTCCAGAATAAAATTCTGAAGGAGATGCTTTTCAGAACGAAGCCCTGAAGGAGATACTTTTCAGAATAAACCTTTGAAGGAAATGCTTGCCAGAATTCGGTCTCTGGGGGGGGGGGGTGCTCGTCAGAATTCAGTCTCTGAAGGAAATCATTTGGTCATGAAGATAGTCGCCTTGTCCTGTTTTAGGAATTGATATACAATCTATTTTTCATTGGTAAACTCATCTTATTTCTGGAATTCATACCGCCTGGTCATATAGATAGTTGCCTTGTCCTATTTTGAGAATTAATCTACGACATGTTTTTCGTTGGTAAACTCGCCCTGTTTTGGGAATTCATACGCCTGGTCATATAGATAGTTGCCCCGTCCTATTTCTGGAATTAATCTGCGACCTATTTTTCGTTGGTAATCCCGTCTTGTTTTGGGAATTCATACCGCCTGGTCATATAAATAGTTACACCATTCTATTTCGGGAATTAATCTATGACCTGTTTTTTGTTGGTGAACTTGTCCTGTTTCAGGAATTCATAATGTTTGGTCATATAGATAGTTGCCCCGTCCTGTTTCGTGAATTAATTTGCTACCTGTTTTTTATTGGTAAACCCGTCCTGTTTCAGGAATTCATACCGCTTGGTCATATAGATAGTTTCCCTGTCCTATTTCAAGAATTAATCTCTGGCCTGTTTTTTTGTTGGTAAACCCGTCTTGTTTTGGGAATTCATACCGCCTGGTCATATAGATAGTTGCCTCGTCCTTTTTTGGGAATTAATCTCTGACATAATTTTTATTGGTAAACCTGTCCTATTTCATAAATTCATACTGCTTGGTCATATATATAGTTGCCCCGTCCTATTTAAGGAATTAATCTTTGACCTATTTTTTTGTTGGAAAATTCGTCTTGTTTCTGGAATTCATACCGCTTGGTCATATAGATAGTTTCTCCGTCCTGTCTCGAGAATTAATCTTCAACCGGTTTTTTGTTGGTAAACCCGTCCTGTTTCAGGAATTCATACCACCTGGTCATATAGATAATTGCCCCGTCCTGTTTCGGGAATTAATCCGTGACCTGTTTTTTGTTGGTAAACCTGTCATGTTTCGGAAATTCATAGCGCATGGTCATAAGTTGCCTCGTCCTTTTTTGGGAATTAATCTCTGGCCTGTTTTTTGTTGGTAAACTTGTTCTGTTACAGGAATTCATACCGCCTGGTCATATAGATAGTTACCCCGTCCTATTTCTGGAACTAATCTCTGACCTATTTGAAAATTGTTGAGGATATTCATCTATTCGCGAATTTTACCTAAAAAGACAAAATTGGATTTATGTAATGTCATGATTCATGTAATGCATTGCATAATGATGCTCTCAAAATAAATGAGAATGGCATATGCGTTTCAGTATGCATATGTTATGATGTATTTTGAAATGATGTATGGATGCAATATGTTGTTGAAGCATATCGGTATCTCCTTGTAACAATGTCTAGATGGGGAAAATAAATCTCAGACTGTTGCTGGGGATGAAGAAAGTGATTCTTCAATTTTTGCTGGGAATAATTTTGCTGGGGAATCCCGCTTTCTATTTGAGGATACTCCGCTGGGGATCTTCTACTTCTGCTTGGGGATAGAGGC